AGAGAGAAATCGGTGAAGAAAGACAAAAATTATTAGACGAAGGAAATTTAAAAATACAAGATGACGACATAACCGAAACTGATGATGATGATGATAATATTGATAATATGATATTAAATGGAAATTTAGAAGGTTTAGCATCTCTCGTTCTAAATGGAGAAGGAGAAAAACTTATTGGAAAAGTATCGGAAAATTCAGACGTACAATATTTTTTAGAAAATGTGCCATCGTATTTGGTAAGTAGAGAAGATTCCTTTTTTTTTAAATGACTTTTTTTTTTACTCTAAAAAAAAAAATTTTCTTTTTTTTTAAAGAAAAAAATAAAAAATGTACACGATGCGGCAAAAAATGGATCGTTAAAAGAATTAAAAATTGAACTAGACAGGAGGAAATTTGCAATAGCAAAAGAATCGGGAGAAAAAACAGGAGTCACACCTTTACACGTCGCTGTTTTAAATCAAAAACATTCTATAATTAAATATTTGGGTAAATTTTTGAAACAATTTTATTGGAAAACTATAATAAATTCAATCAAAATGAATTTTTTTTTCTTAGGCAAAAGATTTCCAGAAACATTAAATACAAAAGATAATTTGGGTCGAACGCCTCTTCATTATGCAGCCGTTCTATCAGACGATGGTTTCATTTATAAAACATTGACTGATTTTGGCGGAGATTTATATATAAAAGATGACGTAACTATTTATTTATTTATTTATCGGTTTTTTTAAATAATAATAATAATATTTAATAAATTTTCAGAGGAATTTCACACCTCAAGATTATAAAAAAAATTCAAATTTATTTAATTATGATGATTTAATAAAAGAATTTATTAATGTTTCCAATACACCGACCAATAAATTTGAAACTGAACAAGGTAAATAATAATAATAATAATAACCCCCCTTTCCTTTTTTTTTTAAATTCAAAAGTCATAAAATATTTCAGGAGCTGAAATTGAAATTATTACTTCTCCAGAACATTTTCCTACAGGAGAAATAAATGATGATGATGATGATGATGATAATGAAACGATTGAAAAAAATGGATTTGCAACAGCGAATCGAGTAAATATAAATACAATCACGTTCGTTTATTATTATTATTATTATTTATTTGTTTTTTTTTGTTTAGGACGAATTCGGACAAAGCATATTACATTTTGCTGCGGCTAGAGCAAATGGTAGAAATGGTTTTTTTCAATTGATACAAGAAACTAGTTTGAATTTGGGTTTTAGAGATGAACTTTATAGAACAGCCAGAGATGTGGCCGTTCAAGCAAATTTACAACAAAACGTTCAAGAAATCGATAAATACGTTATCAGTTTAGCTGCAAAAGGTAGTAAAGGAGACTCTCCTGTTGGTTCCTTTTCATCCTTTCATTAATTTTTTTTTTTTTTTTTTTAAGGAGAAACAGAAAAAATAAAAGAATTATTTTTAGAAGGTTACGATCATATAATTGATTTAAAAGATGAAGATGGTATTAATATATTAGATATAGCAACACAAAGGACACAAAATGAAGAAGCTGTGGATTTTTTAAAACGTATTCCAGAATTTGAGGTAAATTTTCAATTTTGAAAAAAAAAAAATTAATAAAAAAGGTTATTTAAATTCTAAAAAAAAAATTTTCCAGATCGACAGAGATCAAATTCACGATGCAATAAGAATAGGAAATCATAAATTGGTTCAAGATATTGGAAACAAATCGAAAAGAGGAAAATTTGCAATTTTGGGTAAAAATAAATATGGAAGATGTTCAATACACATCGCCGTTTTATGCCAACAAAAAGAAATTATGGATTATTTAGCTGGAAAATTTTCGGAATGTTTACGCATCGGAGACAACGTAATTAATTTATAATTTTCTTTACCCCCTCCCTTCCCCACCCTTCCCTAAAAGGTATTAATTTTTTTTTAGCTCGAAAGAACGGCTTTACATTACGCGATGGGTTTAAAAGAAGTTGAAATTTTAAGTGAAATATTAATTAAATTTGGAGCCGAAAGAATTTCAAAAGATCTCAAAGGAAGGCAACCAACGTATTATTTTATCAACAAAACGGAAATCCTTCAACTTCAAGAAGAAGAAGCATTTTAATAATAATGATAATAATTGTTTCATTTACTTTTAAATGCAATTAAAAACGTCAACAAAAAAATTTCAATTAACGTACCTATATCTACCTTAACGAACTTTGTTAGTATGGGAATAATGTCCGCCATTATCAATTATTTTAACTTAAGGATTTCATACAAGTTGATAGATCCCAAATGGTTAAAAAAAGAATTTAATAAACTTTATTACTTACCTTGAATTAATTTCGGTGTCTACGTTTTACATCCTCCAATTCCATTCATCCAAAACAAACAATTTGAACTTCATCAAATATATTTTCACGTGTCGAGGAATTCAATCTGGTCCATTCTTTGTTTTCATACTTAATAAGTTTGGCATAAACTTCTTTTTAAAGCGCCACAACCACGTTCTTGAAAATTTCATTCTTCTTCTTCTTCTTCTTGTATTCCTCTAAGTGGATTTCCTTGGTAAATTCCTAAAGGTAACATAATTAAAAAAAAAAATTATCATTATTTGTACTGTACCCAAAAACTTGAATATTTTTACAATGACAAGTAAAATCTTCTTATAAAACAAGGTTTTCGTTTTCCCCTACCCCGCTACAGCAGCAGACGTAATCTTCAACCTGTAAAAATTTCTCATTTAATTCAAATTCAAACCGTTTTTTTTTACTCTATTCCAATTTTAGTCGACACAATTTCAAAAGGTAGAACCTTAGTGAGCAATCAACCTTTAGGTAATAAATTAACGGATTCCATAATAAATATTAATCAAATACATCAAATATATATAATTTATCAATTATATAAAATAATAAAACCAGGTAAATTTTTTTTTTAATCTTTTTTTTTTTAAAGTATTGATATTTTACGAAAAATTTTAATTATATTTTTTATCCATTTTAAACAATTTTTTTTTTTTTTTTTTATAAAAAATTATTATTATTATTATTATTATTTTTCTACATAGGATTTCTCCTTTTACGCGATCGTTTAGGTAAGGATGCCATCACACTTCACTGTTTATAGACACCATTTAAAACGATTATATATATATATATATATAATAAATAGCTCACAAAACGAAAATGATTTCTCGGAAAATGCGAGATTTCACGGGACTTCAAATGAAAATTATACTGAAGTTAAGCCGTGTATGTGTGTGTGTGTGTGTTTTTCTTTTTATTATTATTATTATTATTTATTTTTCGGTGTTAGCAATTATTCGAGCACCACAATTAATTATTATAGTGTTTTGCATATCACAGCGAAATTTTAATTTTCTACAACTTTATATGCTACCATATGCGATGCAAATGAAGATTACGACTTAATACGGAGCGAACGTCTTGCGTAAAACGAAGAGCATCTAAAACTGGAAGTAAATTAAGAAGAGCAGTGTCCATTGGATCACAGAACCAACTTTTAATGGGTATCGCATTATCTTAAAAAAAGAAAAGAAAAAACCTCGATAAGTTTATATGAATTAATATTTTTTAAAAAACAAATTAATAAATTACCTGGATATGCCCTGTAGGCTCCGGGAGAATTATCCAATATAAAAATTGAACTAAGATCTCCGCAAATGGCAGATAGATGCTTCGTGTAAGAACCCAAATCAGGTGTACAATGTTGTCTGTAATATCGTCTTCTTAATATACCTCTATTATTATCTAAACGGTCAGCTACGGCCGCTCCGTATATTTCCATACTAGCCGTGAATACTACTAATTCATACCACTGAGACACCTAAATAAAAAAATATTATCATTTATTAAACAAACAATGAAACAAACAAACAAGCAAACAAAGGAATAACAATTATGATTGTTTTGTTTTTAACATACAATGTCGAGAAGAAAATCTACGTGCGGTCGCTTATGTACAAAAAATCTAACAGGATGCCTGTCAATCGTCACTTTGAGAACAAAGTCTGCAGGCGTTCCTGGTTTAACAGTTTGCCTTAGTACTCCGTCATGGTGCGAATGAATTAATGTTTCATCTAAATCAAGAACTAAAACTTTTCTTTTAACGATACCTGAAAATCATAAAATACTTGTAAAAATATTTTCTCTTAAAATGGGAAAAAAAAAAAAAAAAAATTTCATTTCATCATTTTTTTTTTATAAAATCATTTTTTGGTATAAATGAAAATATTACATTGTCTTTCAAAATTTAATAATCAAATATTTGTTATTAACATGTGTACGCGCACACACACACATATTCTTATATACAGTGTGTGGGTAAATGCTTAGAAACATGAGTTACTTAAAACCGTTAAAACGTTTCAATTCTTTGATGTAAAAATAAATAACTAAGTTAACAAAGAAAATTAACTTTTTTTTTTTTTTTTTGAATTATTTTTTCCCTAAATAGTTTTTCTTTCAATCTTATTATAACTCAGAAAACTATTCAAAATATTTAAGAAAAGAATTTTTAATTTTGTTATTTATAAAATGGAGGGAGAAAAAGACTCACTGTGGATATTTCATTTTGAGATAATATAATGACAATAAAAGTTAGTTTTAAAACCGATAAAAATTTACTTAATTTAAAAGTTTTAAAAAAATTTTTTTACTAAATTAAATGATGAAAACTTTTCAATGACTTTATTTTTCCTTCTTTTTATCTAAAATTTACAAAGCAGGTACAGACTGATTCTAAAAATTACTTTAAATCATCATTATTTGTACATTTATATATAAAAACTTTCTGTTTGACAAAAATTTTTTATTTAAATATATCCAATTAATAATGATAATACTTACTTAGCCTGTGCCTTGAGAGTGGAGATAAAGGAAACAATTCATATTTCACAGGTTGATGTTGGCAAAACTGAAATTTTAAATTTTTATAAATTTAAAAAATAACGTCGTCAATGACATAGAATAAAAAAAATTAATGTTAACCTCATAAAAAAAAAAATGAAAAAAAAAAAAAAAAATTATTATACAAGTTCATTACAATAAATATAAAACTTTATGATTAATTAAAATTAAATTCAAAAAAAATATATAATAGACATAATTCATAAAAGGATTATACTAATTATACATAACTTATTTGAATACAATAAAAAATTTTGAAAACCTCACTCGATAAAAAAAAAAAAAAATTGTTTTGAATTCGTTTTTTAAACAAACATTATTTTAAATTAAAAAAATCACACTTAAAATAATAATAATAATAATTGTAATTAATGAAATGCTTATTGAAAAAAATGCAAAAATTTAAATTTACATAAAACTGCATTATTTGTGTCCTTTACAAGTTAAATTACGAAATGACAAACACAATTTTTTAATTTATTACTTGATCGTATTTGTCTTATTTTATTTTTTATAACTCCCTAAAATAGAATACAAATTTAAAATTTGTTTTTAGTAATAAGCCAATTTTTTTTTTTTAATATCATTTCAAAATCTTACATTATTAATATTTAGTCTTATTATCGAAAATAATAAAATAAAATTTTTTTTTGTAAGATGATGATAAGAATGCTACAGCACAACTTTTTTTAAATTTGTTAATTTTAATTAATTTTGCCAACAATTACAATTTGTAATAAAAATAAAATTTGACACAATTAAATATGTTCTAAATATTTATAAACATTACTAAACATAATTTAACTATTTTGAGAAAAACCAAAATTTTTTTTTTCTTTTTTTTTTTTTTGATACGTTGTACTCAAGTTAAAATAAAATTATTATTATTATTAAATTCAAATCGCAAGTATGTGGCTTAATTAAATGTACGTGTCAAAATATAAGATTTATAATTTGGGCAAAATATATCGAATACTATAAATGTAAAAAGTGTTTTTAAAAAAATATGTTTTAATTTTACTTTTTTCGTACCATATTTAATCTCAGATCAATAAAAGTTACGTTAGAGTACACATGCCCATCAACAGTCGGTTTGTATTTGAGCTTTAAAAAAATGTTAAGGATTCACACAATGAAAACATTATTATAGAGAAAATATGATGTTTGTATAACATAAAATCATAATCTGTCACCGATACCTGGTTACCTAAAAATTTAAGTACTTACGGTACGGACCTGCAGCTTCAGAAAATAACACACACAAGTCCAAATTTTAGAAGCCATCAATAAAAATGCACGAAGGCCCATTTGCAATTGCTTCAACATTGGTACAAACTTAGGATGTTTATTCTTTCATAAGGAAATAAGGTTCAATACAATTCCAAACAATATTTTTATAAAAAACATTTTTTGGGTAAAAAATAGTATACAACCGCCATGATCGACCCACTCTATTTTCTCGGTTTTATTGCAACTGCGCAGCCTAAGAAGCGCAGTGTTATAAATAGATTTACAAATCTCAGCGTTTTTATATTCATTCTGACTTGAATTTTTTTTTTTTTTTTTTTTTTTCGCGGACAATTTTAAAGCCAAGAAAATTTTAGCTTTTAATTTTTTCTTTTTTAAATTTTTAATCAAGTTAATGATTAATTGATTTTCAAAAGAACCGTAGATTATTTTTTGGAAACTGTACAGACGTGGAACTAGATGTCACAACTAGTTTTCAACTTGCTTTATATTTATATTTAATTTTTTTAAGATTTACTGAATTTAACTGTGACATAAAAATTTAAAATTACAATTTTTATGATTATTAAAAACCATTATTAATTATGGTTTTTAAATTATTGATGAATGCGTTTTTCATTGCAGCTCTAACAACCAAAACAAATTCTAACCATATTAGTATGTTAAACCTAATTGTGATTTAATATAATAGTTAATAAATCTAAAATATTCCAATGTTTTATTAGTTATATTTCCTAAAATAAATATTTTTAGTTAAATTTTTTTTTTTTTTAGTTTATAAGGTATAAAGCAATCATATTAAAGTAGGAAATAAAGTCAGAGATCTTAATTTTTTGTTAATACCTTTAATGTTTAGTC